CTATCTCCTCTTTCTTTGACACACATATATATCAATAACAAAATCCTGGTATACTCTAGCTTTCGCACACATACATGCACACACACACACACACACACTACACTCAAACTCATCATGTACGTTGATTCTCTTAATTTATGATTATGAAAGAGACATTTGTATGTATTGTTATATTCATATTAATTCACTCATGCACATTAATTGTGTGTATCATCAATATGGAGCTAACTTCCTTTTAAATAGATTATCTGTTTAAGACTGTCCCCCAGGAATACCATTCAGACGCTGTATTTTTTGTTAAGCTTGTTTTGAAATCACTGTCTTTTTGTTACCAGGGTGTGTGCAGAAATTGCATCCTAAGACGCCTGCAGCATGGCAGGTCAGGGTTCCATTCCTGAAGGCAACTGCAGTGACACTTTGCCTTTGTCTGAAGACTTTTTTAGAGGTATGTCCAAGCAAATCATTTTCCCCTCACTGATTCTCCGACTGCATGTAAGTGCTTTGGTTTTCACTATTTCGGCACAACTGGAACATTTGTCCTGCTTCCTGCACATTCACACACATACACACATACAAGTAGAAAAAAAATATATATACACCTACCTACAGATGACTAACCCCCACTTCCCCTTTTTTCCTTTTTTTTCTGTTTGATGGCACTGCACAAGACAACAACTGTCTTGTGCAGCTGAGAACAGTACATTTTATCAACCAACTGCCCCCAAACCCTGTTCAACTGCCACGCAGATCTCTCATCACCTAATGCATTGCTTCATATATTTGGCCCCCAACACTATGGACGGGCCGTCATAATCCCACCTATCCTATAAATCGTTTGCTCCTTTTACAAATGAATAGTTTACTGACCAGCATGTTGAGTAGACTAGGTGACTGGTCCGGCTCCCACAGTTTATCTAACTTGACTGTTGGTAACCAATTTTCTGCTGCTGAAAAGCGAGGAATGCAAACCGTCATAATTTAAAGGACAGAATTGGAGAATATGGGTGATTCTGGGCTTTTTTCTATCGTAAGAAATAAAAATGTCTACAACTTTTTAAGAAATCATCTGAAGTCCATTACTTTACTAAATAATTGTCCATGATTTTGAAATGTTCTATTTTTATTGTATTTTTTTTTTAAATTATAATGTTTGGGTCTTCTCAAAATTTGGTCTGGAATACCAACTCAGCTAAATACTCAAAGGGTACTTACATTAAATTGAAAAAGGTAGTAGTATCTACTGGAATATGTTCCAGTTGTGATTTCAGTATGTTTTTTTTACTTCCATTAAAATTGAGATGGGATAGGACATCTAGACACTCACATCACCTAGTATATCATTTGCACAACTTTTTCAATAGAACATTTGGATGTTTCCCTTGAGCCCTGTAGCGTTACACACTTGTTAAAAATTTTAATGTGAAATATTTTGGCTAGCTCTGTTTTCAATTTTTTTAAATCAGAGATATTCACGTTACCCATTTGTCATACTTTGATGAGTGTCATGTCTCTCCTCAGTTGTTCAGTTTTAATCCTCCAAGCTTCACTAACAAATTGCTTGGGGTATCAGGAGAAATGTTTTTTTATTTCACCATATAATGTTTGAAAATTATTTAGAAGAGGTCAAACCAAGCAAGTCAAAGCCATAAAACTATACATTTTGAGAGAAAAAGTAAAACAGGATGAAAAGCACATTTGCGATGGGGTTGAAATGCTTGATATATTAAAAAATGGAATAAAAGAGCTGAAATAGGGATTTAAATCTGCCGCAACACCACAGAACAAAACTTATGGCAGATATAATCAGCCATTGACTCTAAGAACACGCTCTCTGAACTGGATACCGGACTAAACTGGAGAAAATCTGATGGTTCCACAGAGTTTGGTCTAAACTGATTCCGTTGTATACATATCCTTAGTGGCGGAGTATAAAGACAAAATATGCTTACAATTTGCCGAAGATAGTAATAAAATTTCAACAATGATTTGTGCTAATGTAAAGGGGTTTTCCTGTGCCTTCTCAGAGTTATTAATCTCCTTGTAAAAGACGAATTAATTCCTTTTTTGAGTTAGCTTTGGAACAGAATAGACAGACTGGTTTACTTCCTGTCAGTCTGTGACAATATTTGTGTCACGACACAGTGGAATCAGGCGTTCATCGATTTTTGGACATGTGGAGTTATTGGTATCATGTGAAAGCTTATTCATTCACTTTGCTTTCAAGAAACAAATACCCATCTATCTTGAACAGAAGTCGATATATTTGCGATTGAAGGAGGTAGGGTCGCCTAATTTCAGTGGTAAAATTAGCAAGAAAATGGCCGCCAATGTTTGGTAACTGCAGTCGCTTGAGAGTCTTTGAAAACTGAAAAATTACACATTTTAGGCATTTTTCAGTAAAATTCATGTGGAAATGTATTTTTATATGGACATCAATGGTGTTGAGCGAAAAAACAAAAACTCTATTTAAAATTGCCAAACGGACAGAAAAATGCCTGTTTCTTTGACTTCATTATTTTGACGAGTGTCTGATCTCACCGCGATACCTCATTTTTGTCTTTGTGATTTGCATTGTGTGCTCACTTTTTCAGCAAATATTTCTTTCGTACTACCTCACTGATTCTGCCATCGTTCTCCCCACCACCTCCTCAGACATAAGCAATGTGGAACTTGGGTTTGTCATCGTATGTGGTGTTCTGACAGCTGTCACTCTGGCGTTGTATGTGGAGAAGATTTACTTTGTGCTTACGCATTACCATACAAAGGCATCTGTGATACACCGCGCTATACAGATTCTGGGCACCTCACCGGTAGGTCATTTTAGTCTTTCCATCTTGATCTGCTATACGTTTTATTGGTTTGATACCCCAGTGGAAATGAATCGCTGTTCTTTAAGGGGAAGAGCTTCATGGAAAAGGAGAAGAGCTTCATGGAAAAGGAGAAGAGAGAGGGCACGACACAAGACTTGATGCCTCTTCCTGTTTGCTTGTTTTGTGTTTTTCCCAATATTTTTTTTTTTTTTTTGGGGGGGGGGGGGGGGCTTGGCCACTCTTCTTGCTGGTGTGTGGTTCATGTATTTTTACACATGAACTCAGAAGACAGGCACATACACACACCAATCCACTTATACACACATATATATACACATGCATGTGCACATGCACATATACACATGCTCTTACAAATACACACGAACTGATGCATGCACACTCACACACATGTTCACTTAAATGAAAGTGGACACCATGCACTCTCTGGCGAGGAATAGTCTCACCTTTCTTTGTCAGAAATTTACACCTAGACTTTACTGGCTTAAGCAACTCTACCTCCTTGTGGTGTTCATGACAGATGTGGTCTGTACAATGTGTACCAGTAGCTCTATCTTGATCTGCTATACGTTTTATTGGTTTGATACCCCAGTGGAAATGAATCGCTGTTCTTTAAGGGGAAGAGCTTCATGGAAAAGGAGAAGAGCTTCATGGAAAAGGAGAAGAGAGAGGGCACGACACAAGACTTGATGCCTCTTCCTGTTTGCTTGTTTTGTGTTTTTCCCAATCTTTTTTTTTTTTTTTGGGGGGGGGGGGGGGGCTTGGCCACTCTTCTTGCTGGTGTGTGGTTCATGTATTTTTACACATGAACTCAGAAGACAGGCACATACACACACCAATCCACTTATACACACATATATATATACACATGCATGTGCACATGCACATATACACATGCTCTTACAAATACACACGAACTGATGCATGCACACTCACACACATGTTCACTTAAATGAAAGTGGACACCGTGCACTCTCTGGCGAGGAATAGTCTTACCTTTCTTTGTCAGAAATTTACACCTAGACTTTACTGGCTTAAGCAACTCTACCTCCTTGTGGTGTTCATGACAGATGTGGTCCGTACAATGTGTACCAGTAGCTCAATGATAGTTTGGGTTGTTGTTGTTGTTTTTTTTGGGGGGGGGGGGGTTGAGTTCGTGTTTTACAGTGCTCGCAACTGCATTAGGTCATGTGAACGCACGAGACACGTTAAGAATTTTCAGTTTTGGTAGGAATTAATTTTGAATTTCGAATGAGTGGCGACCGAAGCCTACTCTTATTGATTTTAGGACACCCAAGGGATATTTGACATGCGCAACATGCACATGGGACCTCCGAGATTTGTTTACCCGTATCTGAGAAGGCTAGGTGTTAGAACTTACCTACCCTAAGATCTAGGGTGTAGCTGGCAGACAGCAGTAAAAAGGTGTCAAGTAGTAGCAGTAGAAAGGCTGCAGAAAGAGCCAGGAGCTTAGAGGATGGGGTGGGGTGGGGGGGGGGCAGAATGTAGATACGAAAGCAGATGACAGAACATTGTTAGAGTGCAGGAAAAGAGATGAGAGGAGAAAATTTTTTAGAAGAAAAGTTTCCATTGCTGTCAGGTTTCGAACCCCGGACCTATTGAATGAGAGGCGAACACGGTACCTCTAGACCACCATAGCCCCCCAGTGATAATTTATCTGTGTCTGTAAGGGAAAATACAAATGTGTAGATGTGCCTTGTACTATGTTGTCAGAGAAAGGTGAACCGTAAACCTATGTTATGGCCTTAAGAAGGAATTAAAAAGGGATCATGTGTAGGTATGTGTGATGTTGTCTGAGGAAAAAGGAACATGTGTAGATATGTAGTGTGTAGTCAGGCAAAAGTGAACATTTGTAGATGTGTGTTGTATTGTCAGAGAAAAGTGAACATGTGTGTAGAAATGTGCTGAGATTTTTCATCAGACAAAAGTGAACGCATGTCAAGTTGTTGTTTGTTGCCGCCCTACAAAAGGGAACATTAATCTGTGTCATATATGACCTGTCACCAGGTGGTGTCCTTGTCCGCCATGCTGGCAATCATCATCCCCCGTGCATCTCTGGTCTCAGACTTGGTGGGAACTGTGTAAGTCTAGTGATAACCTGCTCTAACGGTCACCTGTTTAAGACAGTCCCCTGTGCAAACAACCATTTTCCACTTCCTCCTTGCGATTTTTGTAATATTGTAATAACATTGTCCAAGACGTCCGCCTAAGATAAATACTTTTTGCCTCGACAATGGGTGGTTGTCTTGGACAGTTTCAACTGAATGTCAAAGATACTTCTATCTTAAATTTAGGTTTTCTTATTTCTCCCATTTCCCCTTCACCCCCCACCCCTTCCTCTCTAAAAAAAACTTTTTTTCCCCCTATATTTGAAAATTCCAATGTGTCAATCCTGTATGTTGCTTCCTGAATGCTCCTCCTGCAAGTCTCCCTGTATAATGTTTGCCTTCACCCTGTAATCACACCTTCTTCAGGTCAATCATTGAAGCCCTGCTCCAATTTTCTTCTTGTTAGTCCTCGTTCTCTCTGCCCTTCCTTTTAATCAAACAAATGAATTCTCTTTCCCCCTTTGCGTAAATACAAATGCATCCATGCTTCTTTGCCCTATGTCAGTGCTTTAGTTTTATTTAATACTACCGCTTTGCGCATTTTAGAAATAATTAATTTTTTTCCTGTTATTTAATTCAGTAGCAAACTGTTCGATATTGATTGAATGTAGGCAGCCTCAGGTTGAGGATGGGTTGGCAAAGACTTTTGTAGCAAGTAATAGCTTTGTGTTTGTTTTGAGTCTAGCTTGTCACAAAAATGACTGACCGTGGCTGCGTTGGACAGGTTAAAGATATGTGTTATGATGCAGTGGATTCAGGCACTCGTCAATTTTTGGACATGTGGAATTATTGGTATCATCTAAAAGCTGATTTATTTGCCTTGCTTCCAATAAAATAAATATCGATTTACCTTGGATAGAACTCAAGATATTTACGATTGAGGGAAGTGAGGTCGCCTGGTAGCGAGAAAATAACTGCCAAAGTTTGGTGACTCTAATAGCTAAAGAGTCTTTGAAAACTGAAAAATGACATATTTTTTTGCCTGTAATCAATGTTTTTGTAATAAAATTCGCATGGAAATGTGTTTTTATTTGGACATAAAAGAGGTTAAGCCAAAAAATAAAAATTAGATAAAAATGTCCAAATCTATCGGGAAAATGCCTGTTTCTCTGATTTCGTTTTTTTTGACAATAAGCGCCTGATTTCACCACACTGCCTCACATATAGGAAAAATACAAAGATGTCACGCAACAGTGACCACTAAGGCAGATTATATATTAATGTTATTCTGTGGCTTATGGATATCCTGAACTGAACTGTTATTGTATTGTCTACCTCAGTTACATTGCTTGGGCTCTGCACAACTTCACTTTGCTGATGGTAGATTTTGCTGGCGGGGAGGAACGAGTCCTGGAACAGCTCAGCGGTCAGTTTATACAGCTGCAGTCTCCTCCTTGCTGCTGTTGCTGCCCCTGCTTGCCGAAAGTTGACATCACCAGGTGACCAAGGCAGCTCTCTTGTCTGTGTCTGGGTGGAAAGGAAGGGGAGGTGGGGGGTGGGGGGGGGGTGGGGGGTGAGGGTGTGAAGAGGACTCTCTAGTTTGACTTTATGAGAAAGAAAGGTCTATGTATATTTCTGTCTTCAGGTGTATATGTGTTCTGGGGAGGGGGGGAATCTGGATTATTTCTTATGGGCAAACGTTGGCTACTAGTGGGATTTTCCTTGACTATAGACAATAGGAAGACGGATAAAGGTTATAAAAATATACTGCAAATATTTATCATTGCTGCTGCAAGCAATCCACTGAAGTCCAAATTTTGAGAATTTTAAATTTTTACTTCCTCTCAAAGCTTCATCAAAGATGCACCTTTTATCATCATCAAAATGCAGTTTAATGCTATTGTCAAGGCTTACAATTTTCTCACTTTTCGTGATTCTTGATCGGCACAACACAACAAAACCTAGTTTTTTGTCTCTGATGTTAAAAGTACCCAAATGGACGTGAATGGATTTTCTTGTGGCTCCAACATTATGTAGGTTTAGCCAATAGTATGTATTAAGTCAGCAAGTGCTTCTGTTTTTGTACCGGGGGTTGGTGACCCAGCCCTTGAGCTTCAATGAAGGTTTGAAAAGTGTAAGTCATACCTTACTAGATCATCGCCTTTGTCTTCAGCCTGTTGTCACCTGGGGGTTTTTTTTTGGTTTTTTTTGTTTGTTTGTTTTTTAAGTTCAGTGACTTTACCTCCTATCATGTCAGCACTAGCTAAATGTTTTATCTTGATAATGCTGCATGGTCGAGACATGCCACTGTACAGCTTCATCAAACAACAGTAATATGGAGCCTGTGATGTTTGTCATGGTCACATGATTCCTCTCAGAACTTTTTGATCACAGTGGTTGAAATAATTCAACATTCATTTTACTTGTATTACTCACAAAGTAATGTCCAAGGGCTGATCGCATGACGGCTGTTGTTTGAAGAGTGCCACTGGGAGGTCTAACTTCTTTCTCTCTTCAGCTGTTGTTTTTGTTAATCAGTCTTACTTCTTACCCCCTGGGTCAGTGCCACTGACTGTAGTGTCTTTAGGCCATTCCCTGGGCATATGGAGTTATCTCAAAGCCTATTCATTTGTCTTTCTTGGATGAAAAAAACATTTATCTATTTTAAATAAAAGTTGAGATATTTGCGATTGAAGAAATAGGGGGGGGGGAGGGGGGGGTCCGTAAAATTATCAAGAAAATGGCCATCAAATTTTGATGGTTTCCAAAGCTTGAGTGTCTTTGGGAACTGCGAATTTACATTTTATGTGCCTTTTATTTATGTTTTTAAAGTAAAATCCACTCAGTAATGTGTTTTAAAATGGATATAAAAGGTAAAAGGTGATGAGCCAAAAAACAAAAATTTGATAAAAATTGTCAAACCGGCGGAAAACTGCCAGTTTCTATGATTTCATTGTTTTGATGAGCACCTGATTTCTACACACTGCCTCATATATATTATATTCTTGTGGATGAGAAGGAAGTAGTTCCTGAAGTATGTCTGTGCAGGGTGTGTTCATACTCTTGCTCTTGTATATTCTGCAAATAGGAAAAGGTTGTGTCTCCTGTGGGTGCTCGGGTGTCCTTAGCTTTCTGTTTCAAGTCTTTTAAAGTGCTTTTTTTCATCTGTGTCTGATCTTGGTAAGCTTTGTTGTTATTGTGGAGACTTTCTGAGACAACTAAAAAATCTAGTGTGGCTGGTTGGCGGGTTCTCTGGTGTGGTTTGCTCCTTCTTTCCTATCAAGCGTCATTATCTTTCCCTGTTCTTTTTTTGTGTATGTTACTCACTCTCTTGTAACAACTCTTATCTTCAACACTTATATCAACTAATTGAGTTTTAAACGCCGCAAAACAAAGCATTTTTAGTGTTGCTTTCATCTGTGTTTGATGTATGGGAACTTGCTGTAGACTTTAAATAAACATCTGTGAACAGCAACTCGACGTCCAATAACCCCTCTCTGTGCTTGCAGACATGATGAGTGGGGTTGGGTTTTTTTTTCGTTTCCTTCCTAGATCATCATTGCGTAACCTCCGCCTTCTGGTACTACAGACTGCACTGGTGCAGCCTGTTCTAGCTTTCCTGTCTGTGATACTGTGGTTGGATGAGAAATACATGAAGGGAGTGGTAAGTTTACTTGCAATACTATTATTTCTTGTTATTGTTGTTTTTGTCGTCGTTGTTGTCATCGTCGTTCTCATCATCCTTCTTCTTCTTCTTCTTCTTCTTCTTCTTCTTCTTCTTCTTCTTCTTCTTCTTCTTCTTCTTCCTCCTCCTCCTCCTCCTCCTCCTCCTCCTCCTCCTCCTCCTCCTCCTCCTCCTCTTCTTCTTCTTCTTCTTCTTCTTCTTCTTCTTCTTCTTCTTCTTCTTCTTCTTCTTCTTCTTCTTCTTCTTCTTCTTCTTCTTCTTCTTCTTCTTCTTCTTCTCTTTATCCTTTTTGTGCTTCTTCTTTTCTCCTCCTCCTTCTCCTCCTCCTTTTTCTCCTCCTCCTCCTCCTCCTCCCCCCCTATTTCTTTTCCTCTTCCCCCTCGTTCTCTTTCCCCTCCCTTCCTCTTCTTTCCCCTTCCCCCCTCCTCCTCCTCTTCCTCATGCATAAGGAGATAGTTGTTTTCAATGGCATATCTTTCTCAAACCAACTCCTCCAGTTAACCTTTTCCCATTCCAGATCAAGGCTGACAACGCATACCCGTATCTTGCCTTCCCCAACGCAGTTTCAACCCTCCTTGCCATGTACGGCCTATTGCTTATGTTCCGCTCATCGCATCAGATCCTCCTGCCCCTTCAGCCTCGGGCCAAGATGGTGGTGCTGCAGCTATGTCTGATCGTGCAGAACCTGCAGGGTTTCGTGTTCGTTACCTTACAAAAGAACGACATCCCAGTATGCAAAGGGATCCTCTCATCCAAGGTTAGAGGAAGAGGTGAGTGGAATTTTTTGTTCGTCTCTGGGATTATTTTATTTGTTGGGCTTCTCTTTTTTTTAAAATACTTGTGAGGAGACACGATGAAATCAGGTGCTCATCAAAATAATGAAGTTGAAAAAAAACACATTTTTCCGTTAGTCTGGTAATTTTTATAGAACTTTTTTTTTTTGGCTCAACACCTTTATGTCCATATGAAAATTTTTCCATGTGAAATTTAGTGAAAAATGTTGATTAAAGGCACAAAATATGTTGCCCTCCAGGTCAAAATTTCACATGGAAAAATCCTCATAAGTATTTTTTTAAATTTCAAAATTGAGTTAACTTAATTTAAAAAAACTATCACCATTTCACTTCAATTTGGAAAAAAATTAACTAAATAAGATGATACTTGGCAAAAAATGGAACTTTTAAGTATGCAAGATAAGGAAACACGAAAAGGAAAAAACAGGCTTTGAAGTTGAGCAACACGTTTCCATAGCAAGGGGGGGTCTTAGAATTGAGATACAGACATAAATTTGTCAGTTATCTTGGCTATGCCACTACAAGGTAATACACAGAAATAGAAAACTATTCATTCACAGAAAAAAAGCTTTAAAAAGCTTAACGAGAATGGTCTTCACGTCAAATGCAACAACGGGTCAGCATTGTAGGCCCTACTTGGTACCAGAAACTAAATTTTCAAAGTAGCTGTATGTCAAATTTATCTATTCCATGTGAAAGGCCTGTGTCTCCTGTGAAATTTGGTATCATACTTTTACCTCTCAGTCAATTTTTAAGAAAATGGCAGCTGTTTTAATTTAATATATAATCGAATATTGCTAAATTGGCTAACTGGCTGCAACCCCATGTGTGACAGAGGATAAAAGAGTACCAAGTGCACCAAACATCTCCACATTAACGGAGTACAATCACTATTACATAGAAATGGAGCCTAATTTTTTCAAGACAGTGAGATCATTACAAGTCAGTATTTTATTGCCTCGGACACGATGATCTGTCTTTATTTTGATTTTTAAAAACACCATGCGCTGTCCCGGCCGGAGCTGCACTGGTCCCTACGGAGAGTGAGTCAGCTCTAGCTGTAGTGTACTGAGTGCTCCCTGGAGTTTCACGGAAGGATTGATGCAAAATAATTCCAAGTCGATGACTTTATTCTAATAGAAAAAGAACTGTTCTTTCTATTGGTACCTTTTTTGAGTCGGTATTTTGCATCATCATCGTCCAGTGCCAGATCTGCGACAGACATCGGCGATCATGGTTCTCCATTCATTCCTTTGCTCGGATGCTCTAAAAAAAGCTACGTTTCCCTGATCTTTCCCCGTTATCCATTTGTTTAGGTTCCCTAAGTATGTTGTTCTGGGCCTACCCTTGCCTCGCTTGCCTTCAATTGTAGCCAGTGAGAGCTAGATGTTCAAGACCCTTATATCTATTCAGGTGTCTCAAAACTGCATTTGTCGTTTCCTGATTATTTTTAACATTGAGCGTCCCACATGGGTTTCATCAAGCACTACCTATGATTTCTTTTCCTTCCACGATACTCTTAGCAGTCTCCTATGAAACCACATGTTTGTTGCTTTTTAGTGTTAAAAATGATCTTTGAAAACTTGCACACTTTTTTAAAAGGCTTTTTATTTAAACGCCAAAGGCCTAAAATATACCATGGGAAGCCCTGTTCTAAACTCTTAAGAAGTTGTTTGCCAATGAAGAGATGGTATTTAGTCATCACTCTTTCTTCAAAGCATTTGAATGCATGGGTGTCAATTTTTGAACCTGCAGACCTCGCATCCCAACCGCGAGGGGCTTCGCTTTCCACGGCGATTTTCTAGCTCCAAATACTCGGAAAAACAAACAATTTACGCTATTGTAACGAAAAAAGCTTAACATTTTAAAGGTGTACAGCATTTGGTGTTGTTATAGCGGAAAGCAAAGAAAAAGCGATCCGAATTACCTTGATTTCACCTAAACTACGTGCTCGGAAGTCCACAAGTCAGTTATGTGCCATGTTTATGCTTCCTAATTATACATTTGCTAATGCACTATAAACACACGAACGCACACACATACACGCACATGCATTCAGAAAGACAAACATACACAAACATACACACACATGCACATAGACCGCCCCAGTGGCCTCTTGGTAAGGAGTCCACCTTGGGAGATCTAGAGGAAGATCAATCTTTAAAAAACCCCACTAAAACACAATAAAAAGGAACTCTTAAAGTCAATCGAAGTATAAACTGAAAGATCAACAATTCATCACTGAGCTAGCAGGGCACGCTTACACAGTCAGCTGTTTACGTAAACAAGCTTGAAGTTGGCTAGGAGTTACCATTCTTACCCCGTTTAACCAATCGGAGCCCTCAGCCGTTCATAGTGACGCTAAGTTGTTTATATTTCAGACCATTCATGCTCGAAAAGGGATCTAAATCTAAAAATAGGGGCGAATGAAGGATGTCGAAGCAATATGGCCATGAGGTAATGCACTCATACATCTCCAAAATCAATCAAAATAAAATATTTATAGTCGATTATAGTTGTACAAAGGGTGTCGCATTTAACAAGATGTCGGCTCCAACGAGGCAATCCTTAATCCCCAATTTTTTCCTCTATATATATCTCTTTGTAGATTTACGTCAGCTCCAATGAGGTTGCAAATTGACCAAAGTCGCTTTCAACGAGGTCGCGATAACTGAATAAAAGCAATTAGCGGCCTCAAAAGCGAAGAACATTTCTCATATCTCTCCATCTTACGCGAAGCGCAAGGCCCATCCTCGATTCCTAACACATTGTATTGCTAGATCTAGTGTGCCTCCTAATATGGGCCTCAAAGCCAAGAGGATGGGCGAGGGTTAGCCTACAGTAGGGATGGGAGGGGGTGGATGGAAACGCGATGTGGGCTGTGTGAAACTGGATGAACTCTGGATGGGTAGGTCAAGATCGAGACCTTCATTTTTTAAAATTTTATTTTCTTCCCTGATCAGAAAATCCAAGCTCCTGCCTTTACTTTATGTAGATCTAGGCCTAGACGTGAGAGGGTATGTTTCCACACTAGAAGTGTTACGGAAAAACAAATTTTTTAATGCAGAAATAACGGTCAGAACACAGCTCATACAAGTGCACACTGATGCTGTTTGAGATTTTCGTCATCAGGGGGAACAACTGTTTTAATTACTGGTATTGGTAGATCGTGTTATATAATAACTTGCCTCCTTTCTTTAGTTTAACCTTAGTCACGTTCAACGAGAGGTCGGATCCAATGAGGACAACAAGTCGGTCCCGACAACCTCATTGAATGCAACACTCACTGTAAATGAAGCAGAAGACATTAAACTTTCAATAGATCAACAACAACAAAATTAATGGAAAGTCACTTTTTTTGCCTTTCGAGCCTCGTAACACCAAATAGCGCTTTGAGTCTTACGACTGATTTTGACCGGGGCGGACACATATATACTTTTTCAGTTTTCAAGGACTCTCAAGCTTTTGAAGTAAAGTAACTTTGGTGGCCATTTTCTCACTAATTTTACCCCTGAAACCAGGCGATTCCACCTCCTTTAATAGAAAATATCTTGACTTCTATTCAAGATTGATGGTTACTTCTTTCATTAAAAGCAAGGCTAATGAATAAGCTTACAGATAACACCAATAAAACTTTACATGCCCAAAAATTGACGAGCACTCAATTCTATCATGTCTTGACACATATAAAACTTCCTCAACGGGACTGGTACCAAGAGACTGCTATTTTTATAGGTTGAAATAAATTTTTTACAAAGAGAAGGAGCAAGGGGCTTTTTGAAAGAACCTTTATTTTAGAAATTAAAAGAATGAACCCTTGTTGCTATATTTGTATTGCTGCATATAGATAAGAGAACCTATATTTTTGGGAAGAAACATTTATATACAGTCTTTGGTTAAAGCTACATGAATGAAAGAAGAAGATAGATATCTATTTACGTCTTCATTTTCTTTATACAACAGCCTTGATGCATATTCTGCCTGTTTACCCATCTGTCTTCTATGTCCTACTAAAGCGCACAAATGTTTCTTTATACAGTTGGCTTTTTCCTTCAGCTTAGGTGAGTAGGTGGTTGACGGGTGCTCTGATGTGGTTTTCTCCTTCTCTTTCAAACATCTATCATCCTTATCCCTCCTCCTTTTTATGTTTTTTATTCTTTAGTAACACCTCTAGTCTTTGGCTCTTATTTGACCTAATTGTTTTGCAACAAGTGCTGTACAACTCTTATTAAAATAATAAAATAAGCTGAGGTGATAATGTTTTTAATGAACATATTTTGTATGCTACATCCCGCAGCACTGATGCACATGCTAGTAGTGGTGGAGATGTTTGCGTTGACCCTGATGGCCCGCTTCTTCTACCGCCGACCTCACAGCATGGACACAGCTGTTGTGCAGGTGGATGGATCAAATGCTCCATCCATCGAGGTTTCACCGGTCGCTTCCCCTAACCAGTGCAGGCGCCAAGAAAAGTATGGAGTCAATTCTTGTGCTGACCCCAGTACTCCACAACCGTCACTGTCGACATCACAGAGAGAAAATCTTGCCTTTGAAGATGATCGTGATTAAATATTAAGAGGAAATGTGTATTGGAGATGGAATAGAAATGATCAAAGTAGATATGAACAAGCATGTTTTGACAAACTATTTTTGGAACAAATGTGTCTTTTAGGTATGTGGCTATATTATGTTCAAATACATAAGATCAACTGAGATGAAGTGAAAGAGAAACTTTATTCGCATCTTCAGGAGTAAAAGATGCAAAACAAGCACATGTTTTTGAAGAACAAAAATAACCAAGAATATGTTCAAAGTTATTTCTGCCATCACAGCTTCATGTAAATTAATAATTTTCACCTACTTGTACCTGCCAAAAATGTGGGATCGACACATGAATATAGCAAAAATGAATGGTTTAGTTCAAACTTGCACTCCATAACGTAAACTTCATTTGTTTGCAGGGTACAGCATCATCATCATCAATGCCTTTCACCCCTTGCAGGGTATAGGCAACATAAAAGCTCCTTCCATTTATCTCTATCCTGGGCCATCCTTCCTCGCTCGTTCCAAGTGAGCTTCATCTCTCTCGTGTCCCTTTTCACACATCTCCTCCATGTCTCTTGTGGCCTACCTCGTGCTCCCTGTGGGTTCCATTGCAGTGACTGTCTTGTGATGTTTCTGCTGGGCTTTCTGAAGGTGTCTCCCATCCAACGCCACTTTCTTAGTCCTATTTCTACTTCTATATCCTTTCGTCCTGTCATTTCCCATAGCTCTTCATTTCTTATTCTATCCTGCCATTTAATTCTCAGGAAACTCCTCATACATCTGTTGATGAAAGTCTGGACTTTATTCAGCACTGTCTTTGTTGTCTTCCAAGTTTTGCAGCCATAGAGGAGCACAGACTTGACATTGGAATTAAAGAGTCGAATCTTGGTGTGCAGTGAGATGTTGCTTGCTTTCCAGACTTTTGATAATTGCTTGAAAGCTGACCTTGCCTTGGTGGTTCTAGCTTTTACATCTGCCTCAGTTCCACCTTTACCATCGATGACACTTCCAAGGTAGGTAAAGGAGTCCACTTCTTCTAGGGGATTGTCTTCCACTGTCACAGCTGGGCTTGACACTTTTCCTTGCTTCACTACTTTCGCTTGCCCGGGTGTATACGTAGGCCAACACTCCTTGATAGGCTGTTGAGTTTCTTGGTCTTTTCTTGCACCTGAGCATGTGTGTGAGAGAGCAGTACAAGGTCATCGTCAAAGTCCAAGTCGTCCAGTTGCTGCCAAGGGATCCACTTTATTCCATTGCGCTTGCCTCTGGTGGCTTCCTTCATGATCCAGTCAATTGCAAGTATGAAGAGAAAAGGTGAGAGTAGGCATCCTTGTCGCACTCCTGTCTGCACTTGGAATGGTTCTGAGAGTTGTCCTACGTGGAAGACTTGGCAGTTTGTTCCATCATAGGTGGTCTTCACAAGCTTGACGATTTTGTCAGGTATTCCGTAATGCGGCATGAATTTCCACAGAGTTTCCCTGTCCACGCTGTCAAATAACTTTTGATAATCAATAAAGTTGACCACTAGTGGTGAATTCCGTTCAAGGGATTGCTCAACAATGATGCGCAGGGTAGCGATCTGGTCCACACATGATCGGTTCTTGCGGAATCCTACCTGGTTTCCTCTGAGCTTCTCATCTGTTGTCAGCTTGATTCTCTCCTGGAGTTTCCTGTTAAAGACTTTCCCAGGTATGGACAGGAGTGTTATGCCTCTGTAGTTGTTACAATTGCTGAGGTCTCCTTTCTTTGGCAGCTTGATTAGGTAGCCTTCCTTCCAGTCTGATGTTATTTCCTTTTCTTGCCAAACCTTTTCCTATAGAGCATGGAGAATTTCCACTGATGTATCTTTATCTGCCTTAAGGGCTTCCGGTGGTATATAGTCGGGACAAGCTGCCTTGTGGGACTTCAGTGCTGTTATAGCTGCAGCAATTTCTTCTCTCAAAGGTGGTTCCATAGCGATTGGGAGGTCATTTCTGGCTAGAAGAATTTCTGGTTGGTTTTCTGTTGATCAAAGTGTTCTCTCCATCGGTTCAGTTGCCCCTCTGGGTTGAAGATAGTCTTTCCCTCTTTGTCTTTCACTGGCAGAGTGGGCTTGCTGAACCTACCTGAAAAAGTCTTTGTTGTCTGATGTACAACCCGCAAGTGTCCATCTGTTGCTGCTTTCTCTGCCTTTTCGGCCAGGCCTTTCAGGTAGGTATTCTTGTCCTTCTTGATGAAATTCTTTACCTCCCGGTTTGCTTTGGTGTACTCTTGTTGTGCTGCGAGTTTCTCAGTTCGGGTACGGCAGTTGTTGACTTGGCTCTCTTCTTCTTTTGATTTTGTCTAGAGAGTCCTGTGAAATCCATTCATTCCTGGTGTTGACTTTGGGTCCTAGGATGCTCTGGCAGGTTTCATTTACTGCGTCTTTTATCTTGTCCCAGTGTTCGTTTACTTCACAGTCATCCAGATCTTGAAGGGCTTGAAATCTGTTCTTCAGTTTCAACTTGAATTCATTCTTCTTTACTGGATCTTGCAGAAGGCTCACTTCACACTTTTGGTGACTTCCAGTTGTGATTTGTTCATACCTTCTCAGTTTCAGTTTCATCTTTCCAAGGATCAAATGGTGGTCTGATGTGACATCTGCTCCTCGTAAGACTCGGATGTCCTCCTATGAACGTCTAAACTTTCAGGAAATGCAAAAATGATCAATCTGGTTTTCCGTTGTTCCATCCGGGGAGACCCAAGTGGCTTTATGAATTCTTTTATGTGGGAAGATTGTTCCTCCAATAACCAAGTTGTTAAATGCACAGAAGTTTTGGAATCTTTCTCCGTTGTCATTTGCCTCCCCTAATCCATGTCTGCCCATGATTTCCTCACAGTGACGATTGTCCGAACCTACCTTTGCATTTAGGTCTCCCATGACAATGTTGATGTCCTTACCTGGAAGTTTGTCAATCACACTCCGCAGGCGGTTGTAGAAGTCATCTTTTTTCTCCACTTCTGCATCATTGGTTGGAGCATACACTTGTATGTTGTTCATGTTAATGACCTTCTTCCTACCATCTCTTTCCTTGAATTCTTTTTTAGTTCCAAATGAGGCCATGATGATTTTTGGACCGTGTGCTTCCCAGCCCCAAAATGTCTTTTGTGCTGTTTTGGCTATGGTCATCCCTACTCCTTCCCTGTGTGGTCCATCACTGTCATTTCCTGAATAAATGAAAAGCTCCCCCTGTTTCATTTGCTTCTGTCCAGACTGGTTCAAGTGGGTCTCGCTGATTCCCAGTATGTGTAGGTGGTATCGGTGCATTTCTTGGAGGACCTGTGAAGTTTTTCCAGCCTCATAAAGGGTCCTAACATTCCACGATCCCATCCGGAGAAACTTGCACTTGGATGATGGTGGAGGCTTCTGCCCAGCAGCTTCCTTTCGGCTTTCTCTGCTTCGCATCATAAACTCTCCATTCGGAGAAAATCCACGACCAGCCAAGCAGAGATAATGGTTTTTGCTTGTATGTGTTTCTGTAACAAGTTCTTTTTACGAGAGGGGTTGTTAGCCTCGTGACTGGACCCCCGACCTGTAGGGAGGACAACTGTTTCGGGAGTCACTACCTGGTTTCGCCATTTAGTCGCTTCCTACGACACGCTAGCACCACGTCAGTTCTATTCTTTTCAATGCCGGGACTGCACAGCTGGCAGGGTACAGCAGTTACGTCAAATCTTTTCCCAAACTTTGTTTGACAGCTAACGATGGAGAACAGACACAAATGATCTTCAATTATTTATTTTTTTTCTCTATTGTTACGAAAAGATTTTTGGCCTAGGGATTTTATCAAATGGACCATCGAGATATGCAGCAAATATTTTTCTCAAACAATTCCATTTCATCCATCAGTATGTTACTCACCACTACGCCAAACATAGCATGACCCAATCTTCCATGTCTCTATATATTATACTCAAATATATTATAAACAAATGTATCAATTTTTTTTTAGAACAAAGTGCTCTTTTAATATATTGCTTTTGTACTTACATCTATCCAGAAAGCCTTCTTACGATTCGTGCCTCTACGCAGTGGAATCAGGTGCTCGTCAATTTTTGGGCATATAGAGCTATTGGTCACCTCTGAAAGCTTATTTATCTGCCTTGCTTTCTAAAAAAAAAATATTCATCTATCTTTAACAGAAGTCGAGGTATTTTCAATTAAAGAAGGTGGGGGTAGCCTGGTTTCAAAGGTAAAATTAGCAAGAAAATGGCCGCAAAGTTTTTTTAATTCTATAGCTAGAGAGTCGTTGAAAACAGAAAATTTACATATTTTGTGCCTTAATCATTTTTCAGTAAAATTCACATGGAGTGTCATTTGTATGGAGATAAAAGGTTTTAACCCCCCCCCGCAAAAAAAAAATTTCTATAAAATTGCCTAACTGTAGGAATAATGCCTGTTTCTTGGATTTCATTGTTTTGACGAGCGCCTGATTTCACCACACCATATTGCTTCAGGTATATATATATATATATATATATATATATATATATATATATTTTATGTATGAACAGACCCTGAATATTATTTGTGTATTGCAAAAGTAGAATGTTGCTATTCTCTCTGGTCTTCCGCTGTTCTCAGAAGTTCTCTCACTTTTGTCACACCTATTGGGCTTTCTTTGTTTTATTAAAGTGCTACGACACTGCGAGATGAATAAAGATTGTCATTGTCATTGTCATACAGTCGATGCTGCACCGCCATGCTGTGTTAGTCAAACTGAACAGTTCATGTACCACTGTCCTTCTATGATCAGTATCTTCTTTACTTTGTGCTGAATGCAAATGAATCTCCTCTTTGTTAAGGAGGTCAGTAGATCTTTTTCTATTTTTTTTAGGCTTACCCCAAGCTGGAACTGCCCTAAAAAAGCTCCCCCCTTATCCCTATTCCTCATTTCCCAATACATATCCTGTCTCCTCAGGAGTGTTCCTCAAGGCAGCAAGAAAGCACTTCTCTGGAATTTTTTTTGCTGTTTTCTCCTGGCACAGCTTTTCTTGCTGGATGTACATGATGCTCTTTCTTAATTTGTCATCCCCTCACTCTGAGATAGTTTCCCCTTCTCTAATCTCTCCCTTTTCTCACCTCAAAATGGGAGCTTTATGTGGGCAACTTCTGTAGTCTTCAGGTTTAACAGTGGCGACTAGGTACAGGTGTTTGCAGTGCATGAGTTTGTTTCTTCATCTTTCGTGCAAAGGAAATATTTGATTTGGGGGGGGTGAGGCATGGATGAATATCTCCATCTTTATGGCAAAATCAAAATGTATCCCGCACTGCTCAGGTTGGTCTTGAAGTAGGGCAGGCATGACGTACATGTATTCCCCCCCACACAAATGACCAATTTGTGTCAATGGGGAGATCTAACATTTAAAACAAAATGATCAGCTCCAGAGAATGTGGCGTTGTGTTTTTAACCGATTTCTTTAGAGATGAAATATAGTTTACAAGAGTTTACTCACATCACTTTTTGATCTTTTCCCGAGTGAAGAGGGGACTAATGTTTCGGGACACCCCATACTTTGGTAAT